ACATGAAACAGGCTAGCAGGCTGTGAAAATTCTACGTTGTCATAAACTTGGTATTTTTTTCTGCGGGAGTTCCTGGGTGCGCTTTGCATTACTATTGCTCATATCAGGAATCCTTTCTTAATTAACAAGACGGCTAAAGGCGATTCCGTGTGATGCGTTGGCTACTGAGTGTAGCATTGAAAGAAATTGTGCAGTTACAGTAAACCACTTTGATTAGTCAGTTAGATCAGCCCAAGAAATCATTGTAGGGAATTTTTAAAGTCTTTTTCGCTTCTGATCACTTCACCCGAAAACATAAAAATCGATTAAAAAAATTACACATTCCTGTTGGCTAGCTTTGAAATTTGTCTACGGAATGAAAAAGAAACGCAGCCGAATTTTTACCTTAATATGCCACAGGCATCTTACGGAATAAGCAATTCTGTGAAATTTCATCCTTTGTTTATAACTTTAAAGCTAATCCTATGGTAAGCCAAACCATGAGCATTTGCATGAGCATATAAAACATCATGATCTATACACTGGCCCTCTTCCCATAGGGGAAACTATATCCCTGGTTATTTAGAATAAAGGGGAACTTTTATCGCTAAACTAGGGTGTGCAGCAAAACCGTTCGTGTTCAGTTCCCGGTAAAGATTAACATAGGTATGAATTTGCATTTTGATCGGAGGAAAATGTGAAGACATCTGTAGCAGTATTATTTCATAGTGCGATCAATGTTTTCTTTGGGCAAACAGCAATTGACGAAAACGAATTTTTTAAAGAATAAATATAGAGTTTATCCTGAATTTTCCAAAAGTGATTCTGTCAGTTGCAGACGTTAGAGATCAAAACTTGCCCGTGGTAAATGCAGGCTGAAACGTTTATCATGATGCAGAAAATGTTTTGAAATTGACAATTTCCCAATATATTGCCCTTTTTAAAATATTTCTTTTTTTTCAACGATACCAAGTGACTTTACCAATGCTCTTATCTAACGATAAACTCTACCTCTATTTCTTTATGATTAATTAACATCAGACTTTCAAATGCCAACTCAAAAAAATGATGATAAGAATTTTAATTATTTTGTTGATAACACATGTGGCAGGTGAAGGAGGGCGTCTTTCATTCTTTCTATGCGTTACAAAATCCAAAAAATACAAAAAGAATAATATCAGAAACTTAGTCTGTGTTCAATTTCGATTTTCTTTTTTCGCATTCAAAGTCACCCTCGGGCAAACAATTGACTTTAGCACAAGCAAAGACTAATTTTATTTTAAACGTGGAATTTATTAAGTTTGGCAGCTAACCGAGCAACATTCTCTCATGTTTTCTTAAACATTGCGACTTATTTCCCAATAATAATAGGAAATTCGAGGCCATAGCTTTTTGGCTGATACGGCAGCTTCTGTTTACATGCGGTAGAGCGAAAGGCGTTTTCTTAGGATATTGTCATAATTTTCAGAAATACTTTCCCATGACAGACAAAGTTAGACATAGAAATAAGCAGCCACTGAAATCCCACGAACCATTTGTAATTAGAAAAATTTTGCATGTTCTTGGTTATGAGTGTCGTTTTGTTAAAAGTGTGATTGAAAGCAAGAAATTAAATACAGAATTACTGACACATTTTCCCTGTCCTTCAGATGTTCCTCTGGTCTAGTTATCTTTATTAGAGTTTTCATGATCAAACGAACGAAGCTTGTGTGGTATCTGTTGATCTTATTGTTGTTCGTACCCAAACTGAGACATGCACCCATTTCCTCTCTTCTGAAAACCATAGTAAAATAAATTACCTTCATAAACTTAAATGCATTCTCTTTCTCTATGATATGGGTGCTAATTCAGTGAAGTTTATTTTTTGTTAGCCTTACAGTTGTACCCAACTTATCGTCTGAATCATCACTACTAATCCACCCTTTTTATCCGGTAACCAATACTCTCCTTCTCCTCTGACAATCCAAATTTGGTTAACTGATCTTTGTTTTTGGATATCCAACCGTCGAATCATCTAGATCCATGGGAAGCAAGATGCCTGCCTAATCGTCTGCTTTACCGCTTGCCTTACTTCACTGATCGTCCAGCAGTACAGAAACGGGTTTAAAGTAGAGTTAAAGAAAGCAAACACCGTCACTATTCCTTTGATGGAATGTGATGGATATGACTTTCTGAAATAAAGCGTGATAACCAATACACTATATGGTACATAACAAATAACAAATGCTAACTGCACCCACAGCGCACTGTACACTGCCTTTCTGTATCGCGCCATATTCAGTGCATTTGATTGGCTCGGCTGTTGTTGATCATGTACTTGAGCCTGTCGATGGCTAAGAGTGAGGAAAATCTTTGAGTGCGCTATGATTGAGATTAGTAGGCAAGATGAAATAATGAAACAGCCACACGAAAAGGTTATGCGGTAATCTAGCAAATAACATAAAGCACCGACGCTACATATAATCCAAAAGATGGCTTCAATGATATATGTGCGCTTCAACGTTACAATTTGTCTGTATCTCAGCCCTAATAACAGGGCGAGAAGTCTATCTAAGCTTATGGCCGCCATTGTAAACAGAGAAACTCCACACAATGTGTAGCCTGTTACGCAAACGGCATCAATTGCGTATCGACAAAGACTCCAGTTTTCGTAAACCAAGGACATCCAATAAGTAGCATAGAGAGGCTGGCTAACAAGACCTACCAACAGATCAGTTATTGCCAGACAACGATACAAGAGTTTGGATGGCGGATGAAGGGAAGATTCTTTGTGAAGGGCAACAAGGATGAGAGAATTTCCAAGAAATGCCGTGATGGAGAAAAAAATATTAACTGCTGAGAAACATATTGATTGTTGTTGTAATCCACCAGCAAAAGATGGAGAACATGCCAGTTCTTTAAATGTTTTCGCCTGAGTTACACCGGCTGTTGCGTTTGTTGTGGCCATAATTGTAGTGTCGTTTTCTTTTTGCCTGCCGTTTATCGGTGACTTGCAAGAAATGTTACTAAAACGAGGAACGGGGAACGGGGAACGGGGAACGGTGAACGGAGAACGGAGAACGGAGAACGGAGAACGGAGAACGGAGAACGGAGAACGGAGAACGGAGAACGGAGAACGGAGAACGGAGAACGGAGAACGGAGAACGGAGAACGGAGAACGGAGAACGGAGAACGGAGAACGGAGAACGGAGAACGGAGAACGGAGAACGGAGAACGGAGAACGGAGAACGGAGAACGGAGAACGGAGAACGGAGAACGGAGAACGAGGAACGGGTAACGGGCAACGAGGAACGGCCAACGGGCAACGAGAAAGGGGAAATGGGGAACAGAGAACGGGGAACAGAGCGCTATCTCAACTCGGTCGTCAGAGCAAGCATCACAGATGACGAAATAAATTTTCCATCTCGATCTTTTATTTCAAAATTTATTTCTATTCTGATAAAGATTGCAAGCGGTATAGAAATCGGATCATCGGAAGGGCAAGTATCCGAGAGTCTATGGTGGGCTACTAAACATTTCAACGATCAAATATGAAATGTAACCACATTGCATATTTTTTCAAAACTCCTCCCAATGATCTTACAACAACGTCATGAAGGTTCATTTTTCATTTGTTGCTGTTTTCTAAGATGACATCAATACTTTTATAAATCCAGCGATTATGAATAACTTTGGACGTGCGTTTGCACCACGCATAAAACGTCCTTGTTCATATGAACTGATGCAGACAAAGTGTTCTGAAGAGGCACCAGCCTTGCAGAGTAGAAACAAGTACATCCTTAAATAAGACCTTGCGATTCGTGCCACTAGAAGACATCAACATGGAGGTAAAGATGGGAAAAGCATCGAAAGGTTGTATCTAAAATTCATATCTACAGTAATGTTTATGTGACACAAATTGCTTTACCGCCTTTATTTAAGTTTCTGACTCGCATTTCTCCAAAGACCTAACTTTTACTGCACCTGTGATTTATATCAGAGTAAGCAATATTTTTGTAGTGAAAAATCGCGCAAAACTCTTCAATAAATCTTCCCTTATCGCCCATCGCTTAACGATTGCTCTGACGACGGTATTTCGAAGCACGCTTGCTCAAAGCTAGTGTTCAGACCCTTTTTGTGTGTTGACTTCCGTCATTTTAAACTGTTATGCGGAATGCCGCTGTACTTTCTACCCCCGTCTTCCGTTCCCCTTTCCCCGTTCCTGGTTTTAATAACACAATTTTTCGTGTGCCTCAGGTTGGAATAACAAAAGCAAGGCAAGCATGGAGACAAATGTGTATTTATAACTTCATAGACAGACATCTGTTTAATTACCATTTCATGGCGCCACAAATTGTCCTTTTTCACCCAGACAAACCATACAAAATAAGATAAGATACCGTTATGTAAAGTTGAGACTTGAATCATTCTCATTTCCGGGAAACTGAAGATAAAATTTCTAGCGAACGTTTTCAATCGGTCCAAGAAACTGACGCGAGACAAACATGTGAAGACATCTGTGGCATTCGTACCTCACAGTATGAGTAAAAAGATCTTAGGGCAAACTGCATTTGATAAAAATTATTTATTCTACTTTTTTCTCTTAATAGATAGAGAGTTTAATCCGTACAAATTTGAAAACTTATCTCTGTCAATTGCAAACATAAGAAATTAAAACTTGCCAGAGAAATTTCAGGATGAAACTGTTGCTGGTATGGAAAATTCTTAGAACTTGGTAATCTCCCAATACATAGCATTTGCAAAATACTCTGTGTTCAAAGATTCCAAGATAATTTAAACAATCCATTATTTATTAATAAACTCCATCTTTTTTTCCTTAAGAGTGGGAATCTGACTTGCAAATGCCAAGATAAAAATAGGAAGAAAATAATTTTTAAACATATGGCAGGTGATTGCGGCTTTTTATTTATTTATGCGTTATAAGATTCAAGAATATTTACAGACATTGAGAGTGACTATGTTCAATTCCGTTTTCTCTTTTTCATGCATTCAAATTCATCTCGGGGAAACAATTGACATGCGCGAGGGTCACAGAACCAGCTATGATCAATTTTATTTCCAACGTTGACTGTAATTTTGCCTAACAGCTAAAGGAACAAACATATTCACAGTTAAGCATTATATTTCGTAAATAATAATACCAAATTCGAGGCCATGACCACATCGCTGACACGGCGGCTCCTGTATACATGTAGTAACGCGAAAAACGTTTGACTTATTTGAAATAGCGAATTTTGTTTTGATTGTGAGCAGTTTTTTTTTGCTGTTTTATGAGTGTAAACAAGAAACACGGAATTGCGGAGACATTTTTCTGTGTCCTCCGATGGTCCTCACCGATCAAGTAATTAGCATGAATTTTATTCTACGCTTGCATTTTGCTAAAATCGTGAAACATAAATTAACTGAAACTGTTACAAATATTTACTTCAGAATCGGCGAAAATGGTAAATATTTAACTCGCCGCTTCGCGGTTCGGTAAATATTCTAGGTGAACAATTGTTAACAATACAGGGAAGTATCCTACGAGCGATTACTTGGAGCAACTGTAACTGATAAAGTTTGGTTTGGAATTAAAAAAATTGAAAATTACTCGAATAGAATCTAACGCCATAGACAACAAAGCGCTTGTCTGATTGTCTGCCTTACTGCTCGTCTTATCTCAGAAATCTTCCAGCAATAAAGGAACGGATTTAAAGTGGAGTTAAAGTAAACTAAGATGATTGCTATTTCTCTACTAACTGCTGAATGAGATGAATAGGTTTTTCTATGACTGATCACAATTTCCATTATACCATAGGGCAAATAACAAACAACTAATGCTAACTGCACCCACAGTGCACTGTACACTGCCTTTCTGTATTGCGCCATGTTCAGTGCATTTGGTTGGCTCGGCTGTTGTTGAACATGATCTTGTACCTGAGTCTGGTGATGACTGAGAGTGCGGAAAATCTTTGTGTAAGAACCAACTGAAATTACAAGGCAAGACGGTATAAAAATACGGCCAACCCAAATGGTAGAACTGTTGTTCCAAATGAAGAATGATGCAGCGACATTACATACAATCCAAAAGGTAGCTATAATGACATATGTGCGCTTCAAAGTAACTTTTTGTCTGTATCTCAGCCCCAATAACAGAGCGAGAAGTCTGTCCACGCTTATGGCCGTCATCGTAGACAAAGACACTCCGCATAATGCATAGCTTGTTATGTAAGCTGCGTCCCTTGCGTATGGACAAAGACTCCAGTGTTCCTGAACCAAGGACATCCAATAGGAAACATGACAAGGCTGGCTGACAAGACCAACCAAAAGATCAGTTACTGCTAGACAACGATACAAGAGTTTAGAAGGTGGATGGAGGGATGATTCCTTGTGAAGGGCAACAAGGATGATTGAATTGCCAAGAAATGCTGTGATGGAGAGGACAATGTTGAATATAGCGTAATAAATTGGTTGTTGCTGTACCTCACCGACGAGAGAGAGGGAACATTCCAGTTCTTGAAATGTTGTTTTCTGAGTTCCATCTTCTGTTAAATGTTTTGGCGCCATAATTCTGCTGTTTACTTTTTCACCCGCAGTTTATCCGAGTAAATATATTGTTATATTGTATATTAAAACAGTAGATGTCGATGAAGGCGCGTTCTGATTGGCTACTCAAACTCCGAAAATTCTTCTCAATTTACCTCCGAGCAGCATACGCGGAATTTTTGCCCGAATATTTTGTGATCGAAATAAATGAGTTATAATCATCTTTTTGTACAATATCGTCTCATTGTTTCAGCATATGGAAAAAAAAAATTTCCACCACAAGTCACCTCCACTTCGGTAAATAGTTGATAATTAACAACACACGTCCGACGAAGATTACCTTAAGCTTGTAAATATTAATGTATTGAAATAATTTCATTAAAGCTTCCTAAGTGGACTTTATGCATCTGAAATGCACCAGTTAAAATAAAAAAAAAATGTTCAATTATATAGAAAATCATAGCTCACGTACACGTTCTAACGAGCCTTGCACTCCTCGGTGTACCGTGCTCAAAAAAGGATTTTTGCTCTCGTTGATGTCGTTAAAGCGGACGTGTGTAGGGCAAGACGGTTTGACGTGAGCTGGTCAGGAGAAAGCCGTCCGGCCCCGCACAACGACAGCTTTGTTTACTATATTATTTATTTATGATCCATTTCCAAACTTTCCCTTTCAGCTGCTATACATTTTCGTCCATTAAAATTTGGTGTTGCATCATTCCCTTTTTGTATGAACTCTTTGCTGAATAATTCGTTGATTTTGTAGAGGGAAGTTAAATGTAGAACACATCTAAGGGGGTTAAAAAAAGTGAGCACTTTGTAGCATGATGGTGGAACTGTTTAAATTTAACTATCTGCCCTTAAACACAGTTCTTGATCGTAATTATCTTAGCTGCAGACCAAAATATTATTAGGAAGATATATATTTGTCCTATAATAATTATATGAAGGGAAATAATGTGGTTACAGTTAACTTCCGAAAGTTTTCTCCCTCGAATAAATCTGATCACACCACTGGAAAACGAGACCAGCGTGATCATCAGCTACACAGAAACATCATTTATTAACAATGAAAACCTTGGGGTTGATCGAGCTATTTTTAGAATTTTGATGTCACGACTGATGAAACCAAAACTGAAGACACTGAAATTATATTTTTCTCCAAGTCAAAGAGTATGCAAATAGCGTGGGGACAAGATATAAAATTGATTGGTTCGTCGGTGTTCGTTAAACCTCGACTGCCACACTACTAGTCGTCGTCTGTCTTCTTTACGTTTCGCCAGCTTCACCGCTAGTCTTCGTCGGTCTTCGTTAAGTCCCAACAGATATACTGCTAGTCTTCGTCAGTCTTCGTCACGTTTAGTCAGCTATAGTGCAAGTCTTCGTCGGTTTTCGTCAATTCCCGACAGCGATATTGCTAATCTAAGGCAGTCTTCGTCAAATCTCGACAGCCAGATTGTTAGTTTTTGCTAGCCTTCGACAAGTTAACAAGTCGCTCAAAATGAACTTAAGGTTATATCCTAAAAAAAGAGAAAAACAAGACAAAAATTGGAACAAATTATAATTATAAGGCTTTTTGTTACTGACTGTAACCTTTTGTTTTTCAACATGCGGCTGTATTAACTCTCTATCGTAATCAAAATCTCCGTATGACGCGGGATACTCCTTTGTCGTGGTACAAGTTTGCTCTTGCGCCCTAAATTAGCAGTTTACGGCAGTTATTCCGATGAAACAGGCTAAATTGTAAACATCAATCTTGATTTAATTACAAAAGAAAATTCCTTTGGCAAAGTTAAAGGGTATATGACAACTGAAGCCAATTATTTGTTTTCAGTTTGTTTTCTATTAGATTATAGAGATTTTTCCTGCTAACTCACAGCATACTGAGGCCAATGGAAGCATCATTGCTAAAAAAAAAAGGGGAAAAGCTTTCATCATGTTTTAAATTCCATTTCCTTTCACGTGAAATTAAATCAGCTTTCATTTCCGTCTACGAAGATAATATCCACAAACTATTATCCATTTCAAATACACCTGCCTCAAGGAGATAAAAATATCGAATGCCAGTTTGGGGACAGAAATAACGCATATTTTACAAGAAGTTTGATACGTAACAGAGTTTTTAACTGTAAGCGGTTTTGTTTGACACCATCGACATGGAGAAGAATAAGGAAATTACTTTTGCTGTTTTTTGGAGGTGAGTTTCGTTGCCTTAGCTGCGATCTGAGGAAGTAACCTTCCCCCTGGACGGATCTTAACGCTAATTTTGTGCGAAAGGAGGATGTTTCGTTGGCATGTTTTGAAAGCCAAATGATACAGGTTAGTTTTTGTTACAAAATTCGTTCAAGGTTTCGCGCCTCAATTCAGCGAAAAAAATTCGCTTTGGTCGTCAAACTTAAAGTAAAATTCCGGGTTGAAATTGTTGCCAATAAAAGTGATTGGAGATGCGTTTAATGTTATTGCAAAGACTACAATTTACCCAAAGATTATCATAAAGAATTATTCAGAGTATCTGTATTTTACACCAAAGCGCACAGTCGTTTCATTTGTGAATTGTATCCGTAGTAAAAATCATTCAAAATGATTGTTTCTATAGCTACTATACTGTTGAAGACAGCTTAACTCGAACGTGTACGAAATAAAAACATGCGTGCTGTCCTCGCGCGCTATCGTTTTCACGCGCAGCTTCAAAACTCTAGCTCGTTTGATACTTTTTAGCGCCCGTTAAAGTGTAACGCAAAATGAGAAATACATATTTTGCACGTCTTACTTGTCTAGGTGCAGCAGTTAAATTCATTCTTTCAAATGTTTGTTCTAAAAAAGGTTTCTTCCTATTAAGTTAGTTATTTACAAATCTTGACGTTAGATCGCGAGGAGGAAAAAAGATGGCTATAGCTGCATTTAAAACCTGTTTTCAAGAAATTCTGCCTCGTAAACAACTCTTAATAACCGAGTTTGAGGTCGGTACTGTAAGTCAAGGACCGATATTTTGTCGCTCGGATTTCAAGTATGGCCCAAGTGCGAACAGAATAATACGAGGTTCCGTGATTTACACTTCAGACTGAGAAAACGAAGCTGGTAAAATATTTGTTATATCTTTCGGTTTAAGATTACAATTTAAACAAAATTTTGTATTTAGTGGGCTGTACAGTGAAATATGGCCCGCTAAGTTGACCGATCACAACGCACGTTCTAACTTAGAGATATAATAAAGTTGATTATAGCCAGCATGTTATTAAAAATATGTAAACTTGACTTTGTAAACGAGGTTTATAACCGAAGTGTTAAAAACTACTTTTATACGAGAAAGCTTTCTTGACAATTTTCGTGAAGTTCTTAATTTGCTTTTCCCTGACAAGTTCATCCTTGTCGAAAAACTGCCATGCTATAAGATGGGGTTGACAATTTTCTCTCCAATCTGATGCAGCGCATACATTTTTCCTAACTTGTGTAATCGCCCAGGTAAAATTGCTCCATACGTGTAAAAGCAGCTTTAATGTGAATCATAGGCTTCCTTCTAAATCCTTTTAAAACTGTTTTGAGGCAGTTAAAAACCGAGGGTTAATCTAAGGTGGCTCGCTCGTGCTTTGAGTGCTAGGATTACCATAGCAACAATAAACTGCCTGCCTATCTTTGCATCTAGGAAAAATATGATCCAAAGCCTGTAGATTTGGAAAAATCGATCACAAGCCTCTAAGAAATAATTTTAGAGCTTTAATAGAAAACTGATTTGAAATACCGACATCGAGGAAAGTGCAAAAAGAAAGATAAAAAAAATGTGAAAAAAAAAATTCTTAACGAAACGTTTTTGCCTCTTAACACTTTACCACTCAAAAGTGATTAACATGTAACTTCTTGTAAGATCCATACATTAAGCGACAAATTAAACACGTAAAGAAAATATTCAAACTTGTCAGCTGAAAAAAGATTTTATCTTGATCTCGCACCACAGTATACAAGGGAAGGTAAAGCAGCCAGAGAGGAGAATTAATAATCATATCTCAGGAGTTAACGGGTTAGGAAAACTTGTGTCAATTTAAAAAAAAAAATTGAAAATATTCAATTTGTCTGCTTAAAAGTGAAGTGGTTCTCAATTAATATTACAATGGCTAAGATGACGTTGTCCTCATGTATGAATGGGATTGAAAGATGATGATAAATTTGCAATTAGCGAGTTTCCTTCTTTCAAATGTTTTTCTCAACCATTTCAATATGACATGACTAGTTCTTCCACAACAACTTTCCTTGTAAAGAGCAAGAATCTCCGGTGCATATGACCTTCTAAGCATATTTTTTAAAGAAGATTTACTAAAAAGCCGGAAAATTCTGGGAGAATCATACATCAGCAGGTTGTCCTGGACAATTTTTCTGTTCTAATTTGTCTCTAACAAACACGTTTTCGTTTTTGTATAGCCATTTGCCTTTAGGACATTAGAAACATACTTCTTCTCCTCAGCCTTCGAATCGAGTGAAGATGGTAAACAGTCAGCCCTCCTAAGTGCTAAAGGATACGAGCTCGTGGTCCGTACTGGTTTTTCTTTTCTTAAGCTACGTTTCCGTTTAAAACAGCCCTTTTCTTATACAGAGTTCTTTCAGGAGAGAAGCTGCCTTGGTCTTTTTTTCATCATGAAAAATTGAAGTCGTCAGCGGCACTGTTTCAATTCACGACACTCCTTGAGGCTATTGTGAAAAATCGTTTAAAAGCCTTCAAGAATAATTTTTATTACCTGACTCTTAGAGTGGTCTTCGTGATCAGCAATGACTTTTTCATTTGCCTCTTTTGTTTCACAAGTTTTTAGCAAAAGTTTTTCTCTAGGCGCTAATCTCTTATCTCAACCTGAGAGATACTTGTGATTTCAGGAAATCGCCTAATCTTGAATTTAGTTGTTATATGGGTGCAATATTCTCAGAAGCTACAGAGGTTCTTAAAAAGAATCGCAATTTAAAGGTTCACTTTTATAAAAGACTCGCTAACATCTATATTTCTTAACAAATTTACCAGTTGTTTTTTCAGTAAGTTTCCTTTCTTTTTTCAAACACTTTTTTTGTGTTAAAAAATATGACGTGTTATACACAAAGTTGCTTTGGATTTTTTTAACAAAAGTTTTTTACTAAACAGTGATGATCAATTTCTTCCTTTAGCCTGAGACATACTCGTGATTTCCGAAAATCGCCTAATCTTGAATTTTTTTTGTTGTATGTGTGTATTATTCTCGGAACATACAGAAATTCTAGAAAGGAATCGCACTTTAAAGGTAAACTTTTATCAAAGGCTTGCTAACATGCCTCTATATTTTCTCAACAAACAAAGCTTTTTTAAACGACTTTTTTACGTGTTAGATGAAACATTTGACCTCCACTACAAAAAGAATTTGCTTTCATTTGAGGTGGAAATTCGTGCTCAAGGGCTCCGTAGTTTTTATTTTTGCTTCGTGCTAAAAAATTCTCCCTTCTCGAAAAAGATAATGTCCGTGAACAAATACCCGATTATTTATTTTTCACTAATAGATGCTATTCATTGTTTATTTGCTTCCAGTTTCATTAAAAGCAGGCTGTCAAGGAGTTTTCATTCTACATTTATTCGAAAGAACGACAACCTTTTCATTTAAATTTCTTTTAGAGTAAGATGGATTTATATTTCACGTTTCTATGGCTCAATTTTGGGACAGTTTTTCTGCTAATCCCTCCAATTACTACGGCGAGCAACCAAATGAAAACACCGCTGATCTACATCAACAACATATTCATGGAGAACTTCAGCATAGAAAATCATACAATTCAGACTGAAAGCGTGCGGGACCCCTGGGAGTGTTTTCGTCACTGCGCTAAACACTGCGACTGCATTGCGTTTCAATTCAGTGGAAAAATATGTGAGCTTCTGGACACGGACATTGATGGAGCCATCGGGAAGCGAGTGAAAAGACCAGGAACTCTTTTGTATCGTGTACAGCAAAACGGCGTGAGGGTAAGTTTTTCTTCTTGTAGAGTGGTTTTTGAATAAAATTTCGAAGACTTTTTCAAAGCTGGAAAATATAGATGATCAAATCAAAATTGACTGGAAGTCCATTTATCATGATTCATGGCGGGGATGAGTCGCTTCGAAATATTCGCCTTGTATGAAATGAAGAGTTTCTTTGAAAATTTTTTTCGTTGCAATACTCATTTTTTAAAAGACAAAAAAAGAACAACGACTCCTAATTCTATTCAGGGAAATTTTAATTTTAATTTTATTGCTGTTCGTGTTTGTTTTCAGGAAAATGGCAGATGCCTGAATGGCTGCTGTCAATCGAAACCTTGCCTTAATGGAGGCACATGCGCAGAAAATTGCGATGACATCAGGAAACAATACAACTGCACATGTCCACAGCATTACCAGGGAAAGAGATGTGAGATATTCCATCCAAGAGTCAATTCATGCCTATCTTATTTAAAGCTGAAACCAGAGTCTAAGTCAGGCGTGTATAAGCTTAATGATACGGCTCAGAGTTATTGTGATTTTGACTCGAAACCCGGAAAAGTCTGGACTCTCATCGAGTCATTCTCTTTAGGAAATAAGGATTTTTACAACCAAAAGCCTTTTTATTACAACTTTCCGAGAAACGAGACAAGATTCAACTGGAATGATTATCGAGTATCCTACCAAGCAATGGTCAACATCCGACACAACTCGACGCACTGGCGAGTGACGTGCAATTTCCCGTCAGGCCTTAATTTCACCGACTACGCACGCGCTACTCTCCAAGACACGGACATCCTGACATTTGTCAATCAAGATAGCTGTCAGAGGTACGAGTACATCTCATTTCGAGGAAGAAGTTGCACTAATTGTTCGGGGATGCTTGTGCAGCGAGATACCCAACATATGCATACTGATTCGTACTGGAGCGGAAAAAACGGTTGCTCTTGGGATCCAAGTACAGGTGCCCTGGAGCACGAAGATAATTTTGGATTCTATGACGTTATCAATCCTAAACACAAGTGCACTGAAAATTCTTTTTCCACCACGCAATGGTGGCTTGGTGCGGAGCTCTAAATCTGAGCCCACACCACGCTGGGCGTAGGTTATGTAGACGTGCGTGAGGAAGGGGAAACAACGTAGCGGTAAAACGTTGGCTGGGCATGCGCTATTGGATCAATTTTGGCCAGCCCTATGGCAATTTCTTCTCAAAAAATTTTAAACGAAAACTTATAAAACAACTAGTGTCACTTTTACCCCAATCCTCCCCACCCACTAAAAAAAAGCATGCATTTTTGCACACATTGACTCTGTAGTTTGTGTGTTTTTTTAACTTCTGTAAGACAATCTAGTTCTGATAGCTTGCAAGCACGGTATCTAGCCACCAAATTGGATTGACCATTAACTCCTCACTTGATGAGTTCTGATGGTGACTATGACTTAAATTAGCGTTTTCACGTGTTTTATTTAAATTTGCCGGTTGCTTAAATATTAGCCTCAAGATAAGTAGTGGAAATTAATTCAGGCCACTCTGTTCGTAGGTCAGTAACAAAGTATGCTAATCGTGCGCTAAAATTTACCACGAAACTGAAATACTAGGAAAAAATAATCAGAATATTTTAGCAAACAAACAAGATAGCTCGAGTTTCACTGCATTCTCTACATTCTTGAGTAAAGCGTCGTTTGATTACAAGGAAGATGTCGTTATCGCGTAAGTCGGAAGAAGAGCACAATTCGCCCAGCGATGAAGCCCTGGAGGAAGTAAACCAACACGTTAGAGAGGCTTTTAATATTCTGAAGCGAGAGACGAATAAAGTTCGCAAAGAGAAGGAGGCTTTTGACGAGGTGGCGAAGAAACTTGAGCACATCCACTTCTCAAAAGATGCTGAAACTTAATGTCGGCGGCCACCGTTTCGATACCAGTTTGGAGACTATG